AAAAACTCATGAATTGATGAACAAAACCCAGTGAATCGATGAACAAAACCCGTGCATCGATCGAGAATTTCGTGAATCGGTCGACCAATCCGTGAATTGATCATTAGCTCTATCAATCGATGGGCGAGTCCGTGAATCGATCGAATTTTGTCGATCGAAGCACTATGCGCCGTCACCGTTTTAGAGAATTCCCATTATTTACAATTCAACGTAACCGATCAACATATCAAAACGCTGTGAAGAGTGACGAGGCATTAGAAACGCCTTCAACGTGAGAAGATACTTCCTAGAGTGTCCGCAGAGGCCGAATAGTTGCATCATTTAAAAACCCAATCAACAGTGTTACAGCACGTAGCTTAGTGAGTAATATGATTTCTCGAGTCAATTTCTCAATGAATAGTGATGTCGCATAGGAAACGCCTTTATTTTGAAAAGGTACTTCCTCAGGAGGCTGCGGAGGCCGAATTTTTTGCGTGCTTGCCAAGCCTCTCAAAAAATTAGCATAAATGGCTGAAAAGTCGATAAAAATCATATTATTTGACCCTGCTGGACAACAGGGCTCAAGTAGGAATCGAGATACGCTCTTACGTTGGAGGAGCAACGATATGATGTGTTAATTATGAATGATGAAGGAGACCAATTTGAATATAAGAACAAAGCGTAAATTCATTGGAATTAAGTTTTTCCATTAATTATCATTCTTATCAACAGCATCACGCAAAACGATCATCTACATAACTTCTCAGTAATAGCCTGCTCCAGGTCGAGTCAAATGCGGACAACGTTTAAATACTAACAATAGTGGAGAAAATTAGCCATGCATTTCTTAAAAATACGAGTATTCCAGTCTTCATTTCCACTCAGATTGTGATAATCGATTAAATTATCGAAAAACATCGTTTTTAAGATTCTGTCGACACTACCTGGCCCTGTATTATATTATTTAATATTTGGATTAATATAGTAATTTATATCTCAATTAATCCCATTGATCATTTTGGATATTAGAGTTTCAAACGAGGATGCGATGATTTTTCTAAAGTCATTTTCATGACCGGATACTGAGTCAAAACTCCTCTTTAACTGAAATATCCAGAAAACTTAAAATATCGGGAACTCGCTTCTTCCCTTTCAGTTTTGTAACCGTAAGGTGACAAAAAAGCCAATTTAAACACTGATCAAGCATTGACGAGACCGAATTCTATGGATTAAATGTTTATTCTCAAATTAAAATTCTTTTCGACATCATTTTTATCACTGATCGACTAGGGGAAAAAGCTAATAAAAAACCTCAGTATCCTTGTTTTACTTTTTCCGTCGAAAACTAGAGGTATATGCTTATATTGCTGTAGTCAAAAGACTACGAAGGCGAAATTCCATGGAGTTAACCAGGATCGCGATGACACAATACTTAACATTTTTCTGCCTTGTACAAAGGGCCTCTTGCAAAATTCAGCTAGAGTAAAAAGAACAGTTGTCTCCTATAGATATTAGCTCAAAAACCACTATGAACAAATCGGAAAAGTCTGAAATACACTCCTAACTTCACAATCTGTCTAAGATACATGCGTTTTTTAAGCTCCCCGCTTCACAAACTATACTACGGCGTAGGTGAACATTTCGAAAGAGAAATCGTTCCATCCAACCCTTGCGCATTACGAGGCTTCACAATATTCAATATGGCCCACGCCAACCTGCCAGAAGAGACGTGACGACGCTGACGAGACGGGATTTTATCAATTGGCGTGTCATATTTACATTGTATTGCGTTGATAAAGACAATCTTACTTCCTCACAATTTGCGCTCGGATACGTCAAGCATTTTAAATAATGCGTACATAGCATCCTAGTGCAAAAGGGTTGGATGGAACAGCTCCTCTTTACGAAATGTACACCTGTGCCGTAATATCGCTTCTGAAGCGGGAAGCTTAAAGAAACGCATAATTTTCACGCAGATTGTGAAGTTAAGCGTGTATTTCAGACTTTTTAGATGCACACATCATGATTTTTGAGCCATTTACCATAGGGTTAATTCTTTTTTTGCTCTATCTGTAATTTGCAACAAGCCCAATCTTGTGTTATAAACCTTTAAAATGCTCTTCCAAGTCTGAAACGCATTGTTTTTGTTTTTTTCAATCATATGTGCTTTCAATAATTTGCGCTACGAATTCGATAACAGTTTATTCCTTCAAAATTTCTGGAAATTTTGCACCTTACAATCAGCAAACGCTTCGCAAGGATATTAAGTTCTTCGGCAACATTCACGCTATTCAAGTAGAATTCGTGCTCTTGAGGTATTTTATGACCCAAATGTGAACGATTCTTTCATTGATGTCTCTTATGATAATATTTCAATTATTTTGTAAAGACAGAAAATAATTTTGCAGATTGTTTTTCCACGTTACTATCATAACCCATGAGCTGTATAATCATAAAATGTTTACCAATTTTTCGATACTTTAAAAGGGGAATAAATTACTAACTTCCGTCAACTAATGCGACCTTACATATAGATGGTAAAATTATTACGAAGCAATGTATCTTACTTTTTAAAAAGTACAGATTGATTGTACCATCATTTATTTGTAGATGATTAATCATCATAACTTCATAAAATGTTGCGCGTTGCATCTTTTTTCGTTGTATTGTTCATTTTTTAATAATATTTTCTGGAAATTTCGTTGTAAAATGTTTGGTTTATATTCCCGAATAAATGAGGCAGGACTTCAAGAGCAAAAAATGCGAACATTTTGGAGCCCCGCGATCGAATTAACATGTTTCTCTTGCTCAGTTTCCTTGTAGTCAGTTCTTAGTCATACGCCATGCCGCCGTGTCGGCACCCGGGCGAGAGATACACTTAAACGTACTCTTGCGATGTGCTGATTGCATACCCACTTTTTGAAGGCGATTTGCTTGTACATCATGTTCGTAGACGCATTTCGCATTGGATCACTCAACTCTCGACTTAGTTGTTCGTGAGTTCACCGTAAAAATTTGTGGTCGGGTTTCTAAAATATCGCGTGTGCCGATATTACCCCTGCGATAACACTATCGAATTTTTTTCACATGTCTACACGGAGCCTTTCCTAAGCCTCAACATACTGAAAAAGTGCATAGCTCGATTTTATTAAATATATTGGTTACGACTCTTTTGCTTTAAGCTATTGTTGTTATGATCTGAGTGTAGATCCTTTGTAAAATTTGCATTCAATATATTTCTGGATAGAAAATTTAAGTGCAATGTCGTCACCCCAGTATTTTTTTTTCAATTCAGAGGATTATTGAGGGGCTTTGAGGGCAAGGCGCATAAGTGCAGTTTTTGAAAAAATCGAAACATCAAATATTTCAAGTGAAACTAGTTCTAATGCATACTCTGTGAAAAATTCGCTCTCAAAGTCCATTTTTTAAGCATCTCAGTTTGAACTTCCTTATCACCTCAAGGATCCATGTAATTTCAAAACTTTAAACATGTATTTCTCAAAATAGCAAAAACTGCACTAGAGATGCGCCCTGTCCTCCAAGCCCCTCAATTATCCAGTTTCCTGGCAGAATATCTTTTCCGCACAAAGTACATTTGTGGTAATATGCAATAACATTCGCACGCAGATGAAAATGGAAACTTCACGGGCCAAAATCTGGACCCTAGCAATCCCTGTTGGACTGCTGAGTAAGGTAAAACATAATTTTTTCAATCTTTATTGTTCACTCATTTTTCTTAAATATGCCTCATATTTTTCTCAACGTTGCCACATACTACAGACAATTATTTGTGCGAAAATGATTTTGTGCGGCAACGATAATCCGAAAAATTACCACAAATGTACTTTGTGCGGAAAAGATAGTCATCCTGTTTCCCAGGTTCCCGCCCTCCCACTTGTTGATATCCGAAAGGAAACCATTTTACATAAAAATAATTATGATAGTCTCAGCTACATTCCTGGTTCACTTTGGCGCCAGTTAGAAGTATAATGTGATTGCACTGGCCAGAGGTAGAACGGAGTCAGCCAGAAATGTAGTTGAAACAACCAAACTGGGAATATAGTAGAAATTATTATACTATCTTCCATGTAATATGTAGAAAAAAGGAGTAAGAGCATAATCAGCCGTATCTATTACCTTACTGTTTTAGATATTTACATGTAATTTTCGCAGTAAAACATGTCTTAAGGTTATTTGAGCCAAAAAAATAATTGTCTTTTGAGCGCGAGGATCATCCAGAGAGATTTTCTTGTGGAAGATAATTCTAGAGACAAAATTATACAATTGGATCCGGTATATTCTTTGCTTTAATTCAAGCTCTATTTTTTTAAAATTAGGCCACGAGAATGATGATCAGGAAAACAGTTTTACCGCCCCGCCTTCATAGCTCTCAAACCCGTTTTCGCGGTATAATTGAATGAATATAATGAATTCAACTATAAAATTGGTTAGTTTTAGCATTAACGGTTCGCTAGAGAATCTTCAAGAGTTCTTAAAACCCCTCGTAAATTGAAAGAATAGAATGAAAAACTTCCGAGTAAGTATTATTCTCATAACGTTTCGGACCTTATGAGTCGCATAAAGCCTAGGACAACACATTATCTACGACGCAAAAATTGGGATTTTAATTGACTCAATCTATGCCTATTTATTTGCACTATCTTGTGGCTGCCTGTTCTATAAACACCCCTTAATCAGAACGGGCAATAGCTAGTCATGTTCTTTAGTTAGAGCACAGAGATTTGAGGGAAATTAATGCTACCTAAATGTTCACAATTCGCGTTATACTTGTTTTTGTTGGGTCTGTAATAATAAAGAAATTGATATGACAGATTTTTCTTTCATATTTTTTTTCTGACAAATACCTCCGTTTTTCAGTACCAACCTCTCAAAGATATCTGACACGCATAACAAAATTCCTGTGAAAGTCCTTGTGAACATTATTTTATTGAAAAATCACATCATATTTACGGTGATACGGAAGTATGTGAGGAAGTGAAATAAAATCAAAGTCCACTTACCGTTTGGAAGACTTTTTGGCGTGTTTGTTGGCAGCAATGTCTTGGCAACTTGTAAGCCGGCCTTTTTTCACTACAGCCGAGCTATAGTTAGGGTATGCATTTTGATCGCTGGAAAGCGTTGACTTTCGCTTAACCTAACCCGTGGGTTGCTTCCTGCTGTTTCTCTGGTATTAAAACCTCTAAAGAGACCCATGATATGGATTCTAAAAAATTCTGCGTGTAGTCAAGAGGGTTTCAAAAAACGACTGCAAGATTCAAGCATCGCCTAATGTACAAAGCCGGTTTTTATTCCGTCGGAGATTTAAGTGCTGTAAAGCAATAGATAAGTGTTGGTTTTTGGTGGAAAGTATGCAATTTTTTTTAAAAATTCCGACGTAAAATGCACCGTGTATTCGTCCTAAGTTTTTAGAAATGAAATTCGCGGTGATGGTATTCAAAACCACAGCTCTATTGGAGATACCTCATTACTGTTCGCAGTTGCTGACCAGTGGCTTTATTTTTATTTCTTACAATTGTAAGTTAGCGCTGCTGTTTCGTATAGGATTGGAAGAACATTGGATATTTCTTACGTAAAATGCGACCATCCTCAAAATCGAGGTGTAATTTCTTCACAATTCCACCGAAATTCTTCCCTGTGGTGGTATTCGAATCCAAAATTCAAGCCACTGGAGGTGAGGATTTGTTCCTGCGCGTTTTGAGGAAAGGAATTTTCGATGTAATTTTGCGTATCGAGCGAAATTTACGAACCTGATGAAACTGGCGGAACTTACGGATTTTACGGAATTTTTGGTGTTAACGAGGAGTTTTTATTGCTCTGTTAGGTCGAAAAACATATGAAACAGCTTGTCTAGCGCAGCCAAGATAAGTTTTTCCGAGGGTGATTTCCGCTTGTGGTCTAACAAATTGAAGGAATCTACGGATTTAACGGAGTTTACGTAACGGAATTTGCGGATGTTATACGGAGTAAACGGTACGGCGTGTCTGGCGCGCGGGCGAGCTCACGGAGACGGATGACGAGCTGTAAAGAACCACAATAGTAGACTAAACTGCTTTCCAGGTTAGATTTAAGCTGAGCTCGGGCACGCGATTTATTCTACTTATAAAGTATCTTTCTATCTGTTTCTCTCTCTCCGTTTCAGCCCCCGTTACCCGCCGTCCGCCCCCGCCCCGCCCCCGCCGTCTCACGCTCCCGACTTTCTTATTCTTCTTCTTATACATCAGATGTTCGCGGGGGTGCCCACTTTGACGATAAAATATCCAGTTTTAGGAGCGTGATTCGCAAGATGGAATTTGTCGCACAATTCGTCGCCTACCTGACATAAGGGCGTAACTACAATTTGCGATGAACCCTGGGCTCCATACAATTCAATGCTTTTCCAGGCTCATCTCAATGTGTAGTTACGCCCTTATGTCAGCCAAGCGACGAATTTAAGATCTCGAGTGAAATCCGGAGTGCGAATCGTCACCCTCCGGCCAAAGTATCACAAGCGCCATGCAACGTTTAAAAATTTCCTCCAGAATTTCATTTTTTTTACAGACGGATTGTTCAACGAAGCTGTCCGTAAATTTCGCTGAATTTTCTTCGTGCTGCCGATATAATTCAGTGAAATTTTCAAAAAGATTCAGCTATCAATCTCTCTTTGAAAAAATATGATGGCGGCGGAAATTTTGAAAGGTCGCTAGGCTCTTGTGCTATTTTGGCAAGAAGGTGACGATATCACTCTAATCTTCAGCCGATTTACCCCCAGAAACTTGAATAATAGACTGTTGTAGATTTTAGAGTTAAATTCTATGCCACAGTCTGCATTGCGTCCAAGAGTCCTAAGTGATATATCTGCAGAGCGAAATCTATTCTCCTTACAGAATGACTTACACCATTACGGCGAGGGATCTCCTATTACTGTGGAGTGCCATTTTCTTGTATGGTGCTAATTTCAATTCGTATTCCTATTACTCGGGATTTTTGGATGCTATGGACTCCGGCACCGAATTTCACTGCTAGATTTTTAACATGCACTTAATGGGCTTCAGCCAGAGCCCAAAAAAAGGTTATTTCTTTCAGCGAATGGCTCAAAAATCACTATGAGCGCATCTGGAAAGTCCAAAATACACTCCTAACTTCCAAATCTGCGTAAAAATTATGCGTTGCACCGAACAGCATATCTCTCTGAGGGAACATTGTGCTTGAATGATCTTTTCCCTCTGTATTGAGATCAGTGGCGTGGCGTGAATTGCGATGTATCGATTGTTATGCCATTTAAACCTCTGGTAAAGAATCGATTATTATGGTGTTCGCTGCGAACACCCTGTTTTTCGATCTTTTTCCATAGGTTTAAATGGCATAACAATCGACATATTGCAATTCACGCCACGCCACTGAGAGATTTTCAGTTTTCTGAATCGTAACGCACGTTGGCTACATTTCCAACTTTCTGTCTATCGTATGAATATTGCAGTATTACGGTATGAATATCGCTTAAAATGTAATTCGGTGACGAGCTGGCAACGGCGATCCATCCATGCACTGGGCGCTCGCGAAACGTCAGTACACACACATCGCACTTCGATCTCTTCGATTGCCTCCATTCTCTACGACGATGAAATAAAACTATATCGAAACGTATATCTGACGATGTATCACAACCGGCTGAACAAGACATGGGCGGGGGGAGGGAAAGAGGGGAGGGGGGGAGAAAATACGGTGATAGCGACCGGCACGTTGCTCACATTCTTCGCGAGAGGTGAGGAACTGAGCCATGATTATGGAAATTTTTGCTTTTCGCCCAACGACACTGTGCAACAAAATAAAATGACAAAAATGTCTCCCAGACGAGATAGGGTACTCCCTATGTATTTTGAGGCACTGAATCCGAATATGACCTTTGTTTTCCCGATCACCCTCCAATTTTCCGGAAAAGTCGATTTTACCCGGATGAATGGGCATTTTTGGCGCTTTAGCGACTGATATCCCCTGCATAATGTAAAGCAAATCGTCTGTACTGGAAAATTGGAGGGTGATGAGATAAAACCAATGTCATATTCGGATTCAGTAGCGTAAAATACGTAAGAACCATTCTACCACGGGTCCAGGAAAAATAAAAATGAATTACATGTATGATAAAAATGCGTCAAATTTTCTCATTCTCCTGGAAAAAGGAATTTTTTCGGAAAAATGAGAGATGGTAGGCAAAAATAATGGTCATTTTTGGACTCAGCGGCTCAAAATACATCAGATTTGTCCCAGCTTAAACCTGGGAAAATTTTTACCCACATTCTCTAAGCGGTTACAACAGTCGCAAAAACGCCAAAAATTCCCATTTTGCCGGGTAAAATCAACTTTCCTGGAAAATTGGAGAGGCAGGGCCGGATCTAGGGGGCGGCCGCATGGGCCGCGGCCCTTGGCGGCAAATTTAAGGGGCAGTAAATTTTGCAATTTTTTTATCTATATGTATAAAAAAATCGGGTTCAGAAAAAAAAATTACAAACGAGCAAAGGCGACGAAATCTCTTATTTCTTGACAGGAAAGTAATTTCTAATTTTTTCGTCTTTCGGTGATACAAGATAGACAGCACCTTTAATCAGTTGAGTTAAGAGAGAAACCCAACACGCAATTTGGCCTGAAGCGGCGCGGCGCAGAGCTCAATGATGATGAGGACATGAGAAGAAAAGAAGAAGCCCTTGGCGCGGTGATCAGCATGCAACACATATTAGCGCCTACAAGACTGCATGAATACTTCACGCATTGCGTCAAATACCGTGCGGTCAGCAGCGATCGACAAGAAATGCATAGCGCCTACAAGACTGTAGGAATACTTCACGCGTTGCGCCAAATACAGTGCGGTCAGCGCGGCGGCAGAAGTTTAAATTAAACCACATTTATATACATATAATTTTTTCGTTCAATACTCATGGAACTAAATGGAAGGCGTTGGCCACATAGAAATAGGTTTACGGAACTCGACTTTGGCGCAAAGTTCCGTGAGCTTTTGCTAGGAGTGTTAACAGGGCTTTGGCAAAAAATGTGTCCGACACGGGTAAACGCGTCTTATGCATCCCTCCCTCTACGGTACGTTCATTTGATGGTTTTTATTGATGTATCAAAACGAACGAGAAGGGGGCGGCAAAATACAGGCGGCCCATGGGCCGCAAGTAGGTAAATCCGGCTCTGTGGAGAGGTGACGCATTTATATCAAGAATATGTTGTCTAATTGCATATGAAGTGGCAGTAAAACTATAGGAAAGTAACGCATTTCAAAAACTTCTCTTCGCCCATTTTACGCGCATTTTTCGAATCACCAGCAAGCAAAGGACTCCACGAGCGCATTACATGAAGTGGAAAAAATAGGAGAAGAAAGGTAGAAATGATATATAAAACAAAATGAGAAAATAGGTATTGCTTCCCGCCACAAAAAATGGCGCCGATTCCCATGGAGCAGTGCGGGCCTTTACCAATGGATACATTAGTAACATACCCGATGCGAAACGACGGGAAATAAGATCGCACACTACTAACGTGGTGAACGCTCAAAATGAAGCCATCAGTGGCGTGGCGTGCTTTGCGATGTATCGATTGTTATGTCATTTAAACATATGGAAAAGGATCGATAAACAGGGTGTTCGCAGCGAACACCTTAATGATCGATTCCTTACCATAGGTTTAAATGGCATAACAATCGATACATCGCAGTTCACGCCACGCTACTGGAGGCCATGTGGCAATTGAATTTTCTTGTAATAGAGCAGTTCGTGCTGGAAAAAAGGAAACAATTTTGGGTGGGGTTTCGGCGTTTTCGGTGTGGACGGCAGTACTACCGTACTAAGGAAAAACGCCGTATGAAAATTCGAGAGTTGCCATGTTTCCTCTTAGAAAATAGTTATTTTTGAAGAAAGATATAAATATTTCTCCTTGAAATGTTCAGCAACTTTAGGTGGAATCGAGAACAAAATTATCGGAAATATTGGAGGAAAAACACATTACCATTACACGTTACACATTTTCCCGAAAATTGGTGATTTACCGAAGGAAATATAGCAACGCCTGAAGGTTTATTCGGTGTTTTTCCTTAGCATGGCAGAGTACTTCTGTGCTTCGGAAAAAACGCTGTATAATCCTTCAGACGTTGCCAAAGCTTTGATTTAATATCAGTTCTCCAAGAAACAGGTGAGAATTTTTCCTATAAATTTTTAGATTATTTTATTTGCGATTTCATTTGAAATATTTAAAAAATTCAAGGGAAAATATGAATAACTTTTCTCAAAAATACATGTTTTCTATGAGGAAATTCGGCAGCACTCGAATGCTCGTACGGCATTTTTCCTTAGTGCGGCAGAGTACTCCCCAGTACTGCCGTGCTAAGGAAGAACGCCGTATGAACATTCGAGAGTTGCCAAATTTCCTTGGATAAAATTTTTATATTCGAGGAAAATTGTGAATATTTTTCCTTAGAATTTCCAGACTTTTTAAATCGAATTATAAACAAAATTATCTGAGAAATTGGCGAGAAAATATTCAAAAATTTTCCTGAAAATTATTGATGTGCCAGAGGAAATTTGGCAACGCCTGAAGGCTCATTCGGCGTTCTTCCTTGGCACGGCAGAGAAGGACTGACGTGAGAGTGACCTTTTCAATGCAATGATCGTGATTTTTTAGCCATTTTCCGCAAGAAGGAACTCCTCTTTTCGCCGCAACAAAAGTTTCCTTACCCGATCTTAGCCTCGTGCGACGATAACGAGCAATAAATCAAGATCATAAATCAGGGTCATAAATCATCGTTCCTCGGGTCTCCATCATTCCGGAAGTGGAGTCGCCCCGAAGGGCTGAGAGGGGCCATCGGTGGTGATCAGCTGATCGGTCGGTTGGCGGGCTCGCGGGATAGATGACGAGGAACGCGGCCCGGAAAAAAACCAAGCTCCCTTTCCGTGATTAAAAGTTTCGAGTCGCTAAGCGGAGCGGATAAATTACGAGATAACATGAAATAATTACGGTGCCCCGTCCCCCGTGATTGCCCGGGCAGCATGAAATTATTTTTAACTGTTTTGTCGTCGT